CATACTGCTACATCAGTAAGTCCCTGTCTGGTCTCTCATCTGGGAACCAGTATTGCTCAAGGGCACCTGTCTCATGGATCCACACATGACTCCAAATAAATATTAGAGTGGGCCTTGCTCGAAGGAAGTAGGATGTTTCTTATTTAGAACATAAATATACAATAAGAATGTGTAGTTCACCATGAAAAAAAGCTCGATATGATCTGGACTAGCACAAATGCAGAGCCAATGATAAAAGTGTGACTGCCTAAGGTAAAGATTCTGAAGATGTGGTTCCTAAGGCTTTCCGCTAATCTTTCCATAAGAACAAACTGCTGCTAACCCTAACCTAACCCTTTACATCATAAAGACATGATACACACAGCATAATGGGTGTAAGGGTGTAAATGGCTTAACATGTACTTCCATTGTGTCCCCAAGTCACATGCTATCATACATCATACAACACACAACACACACACACACACACACACACACACACACACACACACACACACACACACACACACACATACACACACACACACACACACACCCAGTAGCACATGCCCTGGGGGCCTCAGGGAAGCACCAAATGTTAGCAGTCAGGAATGAGTGGTGGGCATGGCAGTCATGTGCTCAGTGTGTGTGTGCTCAGTGTGTGTGTGTGTGTGTGCGTGTGTGTGTGTGTGTGCGAGCGTGTGTGTGTGTGTGTGTGTGTGTGTGTGTAATCTTCTTGTGTCAATGGTAAGTTTACTTGTGTAAGTGACAATCTTCAGAAGCATAAATAGTGAAACATTAGCAAACAGAGCGCCATTTGTGTTATAACAATTTAAAGGTTGTAGGTCTTATTTCTTTGTAACAATTAAAGGAAAATATAATCATTTCTAACCTAAAATGATAGCCTGACGTGATTTGACAGGAATGTAGGAGATGTTCAGAGGACTGTTTAGTATGGTGGCTGACCCATGCAAATGCGCTACAATGTACCAAAACACTTTCATTAGGAGAAATGTTCTGCACTTTCAAAAACACATGCAAATGAAGAAACATCTTCATCAACTTGACAACACATGCAGTATTAAGAAAACTCTTTAGTTCTGGCAGGCCGCAAACCAACTTGAAACATGCCCCGGGTTTACTGAAAGTGAACCTTTTTTAAGTTTTAATGGCTTATTTTGTGATTGCATTTATCCTTCCAATATTATTGCAGATTTGCTGTAAGCTAGCTAGCTAACATACTGTAGCTAACCTAGTAATTTCAAATATACTGACAAAACACTTACACCTACTGTATGAAACAAACTAACTAGATTCCCCAACCTCTAGAAGCCTTCCGGTCCCTGTGTGCATCACTGTTGAGTGTATCTCCTAATGGAAGTGTTTTAGGCCACTGTAACACATGTGCCCCCGTCAGCCAGCGTTAAAGCCACAATAAAACCAACTTCTGTAAAAAAAAAAAGGTTTTCTAAGAAAAGCCATAACTGATCAATTCCTAGAAATCCAGATATACAAGTCAAGATCAAAGATATGAACATTTGGGGAAGAAAAACAGGATGAGTTGAATTGGGTCTATATGAGCAAGCACTTTTGAGCATGCTTGGGGAGTAAAGGATTAGGCTACATGTAACAGGGTTACGTAAACAGGATACCAAAAAACAGTAACTGTATTACCTTACAGTTAAAAAAACAGTAATCAGATTACTGTTACATTTCCAAAAATTGCAGATGAGGCAGGATTACAATTTTACAAAAAAAAGAACATAGGCTATAGTGTTTGATTTAAAGGATCAGATGTTATCTCTTCTCTGAAAGCTGTACTGTTCTGTAGGCTAATACTTTAAGTGTGAATCTATACGCCTACTGCTTGCATCTGCATTATGGTTCTCACTTTCTTTGGTTCATTTGTTCTGTTTTTAATTCAGCAGGTGAACCTATATGTTCATTAAATAATGTGTGTGAGCTTAACTGTGTGTATTAAACTAAAACAGAGCATTTTCTGTCAGCTCAGATTTTATTTCTGCTTTTTAGAATGTGATCATGTGTTTCATTGTTGGGGTATAAACCTCTGCCTGAATATGCTAAATGAAAAATAGGTTTTCCTATAAATGAAATCCCTGAGCAGAGTACACTTTTTTGACACAAATATCTTGGTTTCTTCTTTACTAAGGTCACATTGTTCTGTTGTTGTACATAAGGCGATGATCGGTACATTTTTCTATTTAACTGAATCAAAATATTGCTTGAATTGTTGAACATTTTACAAAGCTCTGGAGAAGCTGAAGACTACTGGCTAGCTAAAGGTTCTTTGGACAACGACAGTAGTCAGCTGACATGTGTGTACATGTGTGTTTGTAGATGCTGGGAAGGGAAATTAATATCACAATATGCTGACAGATGCTCGGAAAAAGCTGACACCCACAGCAGAAACCGGCCTTGATGGATCCACATGTCAATTGGAAACATTGTCTCAGCTAGGAAATAATTAGAAGTCATTGGGATGAAGGATAAGACTTTTTATTTAACCAGAGGGCCAGCCCATTCATAAGAGCGGAAGGCATACAAAAAGAGACTGATAGTGTGAAAGCAATATAAAGGAATCATAATTAGAATCAGAATACTTGATTTATCCCAGGGAGAATTGGGTTTAGTGACAGATGCTCTATTTTAGAATTAAAGAAAAAAAAGAAAATAAAGGAAGAGAAATATTGATATAATCATAAGAAGTTAAAGTACACAATTCAGAATGTAAAATAAAAGATTAAATTAAAAAGAATAAATTAAAAATATTTATATAAGTATCTTTAGTTAAATCAAATGTGAAAAACATGTGAAACGAACATTTAAAAATTAAAATGTGCAATAAAGGATAAAAAAAAAATCTAAATAACCTAAAAATGTAAAATGTGCAAATTTTATGACTTGTGTAAATGCATACCATATTACAATATATCAGTGGTGTCATAGTATCAAGAATTGTAAGAAATGTATATATCATTAAACAATATCTAGGTGTCGTTTTAGTTTTATCTCTATGAGTGTCAGGCACTAAAACATTTCTCAGCCTCCTATTATCAAAGCAGATCCACACAAATGACCCTGCAGGTGCCTTGCTGTAGTAATGCTGTGCTTCAAGTCATTCACGTTTTTAATGACTGGCTCGAAAAACAACACACAACTGCCCTCCTCTGGATATAAACAGAACTGCCCTCCTTTTTTAAAGTGTCACTTACTCCTTAACTTTCTGCTTCCCCATGGTGTTCACTTCATTATTGAGAAAAATACGTTAATTGACTTTCATATCAAAGCATCATATTTTAGCTGAATATTATCTGTTGCAACATAACAGGAGTTATCCCTGCAGCTGAGGTCATGCAGAGGCTTTAAAGTGACAAACCAATGTCATATTAAGGTGTCACTCTCCTGCTTATTAGCACCTGTCCTTTCTCTCTGTGACATTCCACATACGCTGATGATAAATGGACACATGTATTAATACACGCAAACAGTTCATGTTTAGAGCGTGTACTATATACCTTTGTGAGCAGTAAAGTCTATATGGAAGTGCAAAACCTGCAGTTGGCCATTTGAGTCCAGATCTAAAATGCAGCAATCTCCAAAGACCCCTATTATTATTATTATTATTATTATTGTTATTATTATTATTATTATTAATAATAATAATATGTTAAAAGGGCCCTATTAGGCTTTTGGTGGTTTTCCCTTTTCCTGTAGTGTGTTAAATAGGTTTTTGTGCCTGTAAATGGTTAAGCTAATCCCTCCAGAGGGAGTTTCTCTCCTGAAAGGACGGGACATCTGAGCAACTGACAATTCACAACAGAGTCGACCAGCTAACCAATCAGAGCAGACTGGGCTCTGGTTTCAGACAGAGGGTGAAAAGAGGTGCTGCAGCACAGGCAGTATAAGAAAAATAAAAACGTTTTTGAACATTAAGGCATGGAAACATGTTACAGTAGAGGCAGAAAATACAATTTTGAACATGAAAATGAGCAGAACAGGACCCCTTTAATACATCCACAACCTGACCCCAGTTCAGAGCAAAGCAAGTGGAGCTGCCCTGACTCAAGCAGACTCAAGTGCTTGTCAATATTACATCCGTAAACACTGCAGAATTTGTTTTGATGATATCCAAAATGAATCATAGCGGTGGTTGGGAGGCGGACAATGCTTCCAGTAGGCTGGATGTGGGGCTTTGTTTAGTGACTCATAAGACCCGGATCATGAGGTCACCTTATTGTTATTTCATATCAACTAAGGGAATCGGCACCATGCTTGAGGAGCACCTGGTGCAGGCATGTGTTTTATGGCTTTGTTTGCAGTACTTTATAAAAAAGGCTATGTAACTCATTTTTAGGTGCTTACTAACTAATAGGGACACCATGCATGCATCGACAAGTACCGTCTCTAGTGAAATGTGTGCCTTTGTTTGTGCGCTCTGCGTTAATAAATAGCCTAATATTCCACCATAAAATTAAACACTGGCAAGCAAGCACACAGTCAAAGTTTAGATATCATATTGACCAATATGATAAAAGAATAAAGAATAAAATGTGAATATTAAAAGATCTATCATCTGCATTATCACAGTAACAAATACAATATTTAGGGTTAAAAGAGGAGAAATAATTAGAAGCTTCAAAATAGTCCATCCATAATTTGACGAACAAAAAAGGTAATAAATAGTTTATACATCTTGTGTCGACAAAGAAACAAGAAATGTCAATGTCTGTAAATGTAGCGATAAAACAATTAGCAGGGTAAATTACATTTAAAATGTTGTATTTCGTAGATCTCAAGAAAATAAAACCTTGCAGCTGGGTTATTCTTTATTAAAGTTCTGTGAAAATAGCTTATTGTTAAAGAATATAGTTGTTAGTTTTATTCCTGGCACTAAAGGCTGTTCGATTTGTAATAGCCAGCACATGAGATTTAAATGGTGGTCTATGTGTCCTCCTTCCCGCCAGAAGGCGCTGTTGCTTACGTTACGTTTGTTGCAGGAAGTCAACCCCACTTAGGGGGAAAGGAAATCATTCAGCATGCGAGTTTGTTTGGAACTCCATGTGACAGCGACCTCATTTAAAAGAACAGATACAACCCGCTAAATTGAACGCTTTTCCGGCAGTTTATCACAGCAGTCATGGGCAAAAAAAGCAAGAAAGAGAAGAAGGTGAAGGGAGCGGAGAAGACGGCCGCCAAAATGGAGAAAAAGGTTTCAAAGAGGTCCAAAAGAGAGGAGGTAACACTGAACTGTTAGCCTTGTGTTCAATTCTGTTCATTTCACATCATAAAAAGTAGCTTCGCACACATGTTTAGTAATAGGTTTAAAAATAAAAAAAATACATCGTTAACTACCAGTTCTAATAGAAATCAAACTCACACAGAAACTGGACTTATTTCACATTCAGACGCAAAACCCTCGTAAGTGTGCAATTCAGCATGAATATCTTTATTAACACTAATACACTGCATATAATAAATAATGCACTTTTGTCCTCTTTTATTGCACATTTTTAAACAAACTGCTTGTGCTTATTTCAATATTTGTGTTATATTATATTTTTTATTACACATTTTTGAATGAATGTCCTTTGCTTTGACCTCTTACGATTGTATACAATAATTGTATTGTGTCGTTTTATATCATAGTTTTACTTTAACTTGTTTATATTAATATACAGGAACTGTCACCCGAAAACCCAGTTTCCCCCTGGAAGAAATACATTATTTTGATTCAGCTTCCGATAAATTAGTACCAGGTAACAGAACTGTCTTTTATAATGAATAGCAATAATGCTAATGTGAAATATAGCAATATTGTTAGTACCCACAATTAGGGGTGCACCGAATGGGACATTCTTGGCCGAAACCGATACCGACAATAGGAAACAGTTGGCCGAAAACCGAATGCCGAAAGGCCGAAAATGATTAATAGAAATATATATATATATAATGTATACATTTTTTACCAATGTTGTTCAGCTACCTGATTATGGAAATAGACATGATTATGGCAAAACTTAACTTAAATAATAATCACTATTATGGGTCCATAAAACATTTATTCAGCACTTTTGAATGCATACAGTACATTTATATATGTCATGTATTATTGCTAAAAAACATGATATCGCAGTCTTAGTGTCGCCAACTCGTTTCTAATATGCAAAGACAACAAATGCGTCTATTATATGATGTATTTTCGATCAGACGAGATCTCTCCCCCCCGTCTGTGTGCGAGGGGGCGGGGCAGTTTACACACACGCAGCTGCTACATGCAGCGGAGCACACTGCGGAGATGGCGGAGAGAACGCGCTCCGAGGTGTGGTTAAACTTTACCCGTCTCGATGTGGAGAATACTTGTTACCATAAGTGCAATAAGAGTTTAGCATGTAAGCACGAGCAATTTGTCTAAACATTTAGCAAAAGTGCACCACATTCAGACGGAGGAATGTACCGGGTTCGACCGTCTTTCTAGCAGCTCTGTAGCTCCATCACGAGTAACGTTTCCACGTCAGGTGTTATGTATGCTAGCAGCTACACGGAGTTAACTACATGATACAAACATGGGTTAATGATTAGAGGTAACTGAGTTATTTAGTTTGTTAAAATTTCAGCTATTCTGTTTACAGTCTGTCATCAGATTATTTAATACGATTTGTTAAAGGCTCAGGGCAATCTCGATGACAAAGGTCAATGTCCCCCCCCCCCCCTGTGAGCCAGCCGCCGCGTCTTTATTACGTCATCACAACAACACGTTAGGTTACCAACGTAAGCCTGTTCTCACATTCGGTGATATTTTTTCGGTGCTAAAACCCTTTCGGCCGAAAGGGCCTTTTTAACCATTTTCGGCCGATAATTTTCGGTGGCCGAATATTCGGTTTATCCCTACCCACAACTATGGCATATTTGTGCAAGCCATTTACATCCTTCTGGTTTGTTGTTCTTACCTTCCCTCCTCTCTGTCTGCAGGAGGACTTGGAGGCGATGATCGCTGAGTTTCAGAATCTGGATGCAAAGAAGACAACAGTTGTAGAGACAACCTGTCCTCCTCCATCAGCAAGGTGATAGACTTGATCCCTTTCTATAAGTTTGAATGTATTGTCCCTATCGGGAAAGTCGTCTTGCATATGCAGACCGCACAGAAGATGATCACATTCATGAAACACACACTTGTGTCAGCAGCGCTGTGACGGAGCGGATCACAGAGTGACAGGCCCCGTCTCAGGTCGGTTAAATTAAATCTTTGCTTCCCTCACTTGCATCGTTTCCCTGCCTCTAGTCCCTCCCACCAGGGAAGCATGGAGAGACGCAAGGAAACCACGAGAAGCAGGGAAATTAGTTTTAAGAGCAATGGGACGTCCTTTCTAGGGCTGCAACAAACGACTAATTGGATAATCGATTAATCTATCGATTAATGAAACGATTAATCGATTATTCGGATTATGCCTTGCACAATTTCTCAAACGCTCTTATTTAGCCATCAACTTTTAGATTTAGCTTGAGGTTGTTTTAGGCATGTGGAAACTAACAATGAAGACAATAAAGATGAATACTTGATTCAAAAATACATATTTTATTAAACTTTCTGCTGAAAGATGAATCAAAAATCTGTCCGTCAACATTTTAAACCAAGGATAGCAGATCAGATAAGATAAAAGATAACATTTTTCACATTGTCAAGTAGGGATGAGTATCGTTAAGGTTTTAACTGTTCTACTACTTTTATCGATGGCGCTTATCGATCCGGTCTTTTAACGGTACTCTTAACTGGTCTTTTGAAAAAGAAAAAAAAGGTAAATTAACTAAACACATTTTGAACAAAACTAACATTGCTTTTTATTTAAATAAAATAAATAATATTTCACATCAAAAGAAACAACAATGTTTTAACAAATCGTATTAAATAATCTGATGACAGAACTGTAAACAGAATAGCTGAAACTTTAACTAAATAAATAACTCTGTTACCTCTAATCATTAACCCGTGTTTGTATCATGTAGTTAACTCTGTGTGTTGCTGCTAGCATACATAACACCTGACGTGGAAACGTTACTCGTGGATGGAGCTACAGAGCTGCTAGAAACACGGTCGAACCCGGTACATTCCTCCGTCTGGATGTGGAGCACTTTTGATAAATGTTTAGACAAATTGCTCGTGTTACCGCCCTCACATGCTAAACTCTTATTGCACTTTTGGTAACGAGGATTGTGCACCTCGAGACGGGTAAAGTTTAACCACACCTCGGAGCGCTTCTCTCCGCCATCTCCACCGTGTGTGTGTTGCATGCATGTAGCAGCCCGTGTGTGTGTTGCATGCATGTAGCTGCCGTGTGTGTGTTGCATGCATGTAGCTGCCGTGTGTGTGTGTTGCATGTAGCAGCCGTGTGTGTGTTGCATGCATGTAGCTGCCGTGTGTGTGTTGCATGCATGTAGCAGCCGTGTGTGTGTGTTGCATGTAGCAGCCGTGTGTGTGTTGCATGCATGTAGCAGCCGTGTGTGTGTGTGTTGCATGCATGTTGTATGCGAGTAAACTGCCCCGCCCCCTCGCACACAGACGGGGGTGAAAGATCTCTCGTCTGGATTGGAAGGATCGAAAATACATCATAGACACATTTTGTAGTCTTATTGCATATTAGAAACGGAGTTGGCGACACTAAGACTGCGATATAATGTTTATGTAGCAATAATATACATGACATAATGTTTTAAATGTCTCCAGTACCGATAAAAAGACCGATAACGTTGGAGCTTAACGGCGCGTAAAACACACGCTATGACGTCACCAACTAATCGACGACTGAATTAGTTGGCAACTAATTTGGTCATCGATTTTAATCGATTAAGTCGATTAGTTGTTGCACCCCTAGTCCTTTCCTCCGGAGCGTCACGTGAAGCGAAGTCCGTTTGTGATGACGCTGCACAGCTGATCGTCTGACAGCAGCTCTGTCCCCGTTATTTCCACACACCCCCCCGCCTCTGTTAGTGCACATTTACTGACACAAACATTTGTATCATCTGTTGTAGACCCAAATACATTAAATAAAATAAGAACTCATTCTCAAAAAAGATAAACGCCATTCTTAAAATGTATAAACGAACAATAGTTAGATTAATATTGATTAGAGTGCACAATAGAAATACAATAATTGAGAGAAGAAAAATAGATATATTATCTATCAAAACCCAGTTAGATTAACATTCATTGGATTGCACACTTTGTGTGTTTGTGTGGATATGTAGCACATTCACATTTTAATAGCACTTAATGACTGACTGAATGGAAATGACAATAAATGAAAATGTAAAACGAAAAAAGCGATCATGAAAATGTTTCCAACAAATGAATAAAATGATTTTTGACCACTTTGTTGTTCAGATATATCACATATTTGTAACTAAATTATACATTAATTGAAACAAAACATGGTATAAACTGAGGAGTGAGTCCCGTGAGGTTCATGTATTTTCTTCACTCCGCTGGGAAACTGCTCTCATGTCAAGAAGCATCAGATCAGTGCATGCCCTGCATCGTCCAATCAGTGAGCGATACACAGTAAGGGGGCGGGGTGAGTATCTGAGGATTTCATCGAAGGATGGTCTGGTGGTTCCTCGCTCCTCGATCCTCCGGCAGAAATAAGAGCCATGGGACGCTACTCAAAATGGCGCAGACAAATCAACTTCCTGTGAGACCGAGGAGCGAGGAAATGAAAATAGTCGACCTGAGACAGGGCCACTGACTCCGCCACTGACAGTCCACACACACACACACACACACACACACACACACACACACACACACACACTCACTCACTCACTCACTCACTCACTCACTCACTCACACACATTTCCTGCTCTCTTCCGTGAAATGAACCATGCAATTTCTTATTTATTTTGCGTTTGTTAATTATGGGGAATGATTGTGTTAAGAGGTAGTTAACCTGTTTATGTTTGGGTCGGATTTTTATGTTGACAATGTGGTTTTCAGTTAATTGTGTCACCTGTTGACGGTAAGCCTGTGGGAGGGGCTATGGGTTCAAAAGGGACGGGTTTGGCCCTGGAAGGAGTCACTCGGGGGAATGTTGCAGTGAAGGCAACAGCTGGGACGTGTTCGGGAGTTTGTTGCAGAGAAGGCAACAGCAGAACACGTTTACTCTCCATGAGTGATGGACGGCCTGATTTGGACTTTTATTTTGTTTGTTTAAGTTGTGCTGTTTCGCTATTTTTTTGTTGCTGCTGTAATTAAAGTTTTGGAGTTTAAAACAACCGACTGGGCCAGTGTTTCAAACAGACAAATAGAACCCCGTCACAAGCGCAAATAAAACGACGAGTATCAGTAAGTAAAAGATAAAATAAGATGGACCTTTATTAATCCCTGTGGGGAAATACCCTAATCATCAGCGATTTAAAGCAGGGGCATTTAACTGTTTAAAGACACGAGAGATAAAATCATTTCCTCTGACTCTTCATCTTAGAGATAAAGCCTCCATTTGTAACCATTGCCGCAAAGCCTGTTGAGAGATCACTACACCAAGTAGTTATGGATTATATGAATGAACAGTATAATAGGGCTCTGCAATTAATTGTATTTGAATCTCGATTACGATTTTGGCTTGCAACGATTACGAAAACAACGTAATTGAAATAAAACGATTATTTTTATTTAAAAAAAAAGAAAAGTTGATATCATTTTTATTTTTGTATTGGTTTTTCAGTTGAATTATACTTAAAGTTCAGGGTAATCAACTGTTAAAAATATACTGTTCAATTTTTTTCAAAAATGGATGTTTTCAAAGTAAATGGATAATCGTTTTTCATAATTGTGATATCAATTATTGACCAAAATAATCGTGATTATGATTTTTGCCATAATCGAGCAGCCCTACAATATAAATGTACAGTATTAGTTGTTATACTCTATATTTAATACAAACTACTACCAACCGCAACAAATATAAACATAAAAATGTATATTGAGTTTTACAGACCAGTTTAAAGGTGGGGTGTGTAATTTATTTCAGAAACACTTTTTGTTATATTCCATAGAATGCTCTTAACATCCCGATAGCAATGAATATCTTAAGTGATTTGACAATAAATCCATAAAAACATGTAACCTGTGGAAGCCGTAGTACTGTAAAAAGCACGACCAATCATTTTAGCCGGCCCGGCTAAAATAGCTGGATGGCCTACCTGCCTGTCAGCCTTCCATCTGTGCACAAACTTATCTCGTGCCCTCATTGGTCATGTGTGCGTTCGTGTGTGTTGGAGGAGGGACTCTGTGAGGAAGTCTGAAGGAAGAGGCAGATTTTTTTCCGGTTGTGTATTTTCAAATTCTAGCGCACTCGAGCTGGTTTCTCCAAAATGACATACCCCACCTTTAAGCTTAAAGGGTAGTTCCTATGCTAAAGCGCTAATGTTTAAAAGGTATAATGTTAACCATTTACAAACAAAAATGGATTGGAGCACGAGCACCCTGATTGACTTGCAGCTTTTATTTGAGTAAAGTTGAAGGTTAAAACGATATTACAAATCACCCTGAAAGAGACAAAAGTTGTGCACCAAATATCAAGACAGTCAAGTAGTTGATGAGGTTTTTTAGTCAGAACAGAAAAGGACAACATCATGGTCACATGCATAGATCATCAGTAGGGTTGATCCTCTGATAAAGGGACATGTTCCACATGTTTTCCCATTCCCTACAATAGATGTTGAGAGATTTGACAGACTAAGTGATTTGTCAGGATAAGTGCTGAGGCTCTGGGAACCATTTCAAAGGGGAGATCGTGACATCATGCATAATCTTAATTTCTGATGTCTTGTGATTTTTTTGTTTAAGGCTGAGCGCGTCCATCTCCGCCCATCCTGAGAAGGATGAACTCATCCTGTTTGGAGGAGAATTCTTCAATGGAAGGAAGGTAGGAGAAAAGACTTGATGTCCACCCGGCTCACACTGTCTGATTTTGGGATGATTTGGAAAACGTATTTAAAGCATGGCCTGTCTTATTGTTTTTTCAATACATTTTCATACTGTGGTGTACAGGGGTTATTGTAGGATAAACAAGGATGGATCTTGCAAGTTGAAGCAATTGGTGTTTTAGTCAAAAGAAAATAAGATTTTATTAATGTAATATGTCATTTTAAATGCGTATAAATCAGAAAATGTCAATTTTTTTATGAATGAAATCTGGGTTTTTTCCTTAAATGACTTGCCTCCCCAGGACCGTCATTTTATTTTTAAACCTACAATGGCCTTAATAAGCTGTCATCATTTCACAATCATCAACATTGTACAAACTGTTTATGAAGCTCACACTCTTTGATGCATTTGTTCTTTTCCCCCCTATATTTTACAACTGAAACTTTGTTGAATACATTCCTAATTTGAAAACCTTTTGTTGCCTTTTTCTGCAGACGTACCTGTACAATGATTTGTTTTTCTACAACATCAAGAAGAACAACTGGGTTAAATCAGAGATCCCCAACCCCCCTCCCCCGCGCTGCGCTCACCAGGTAACCCTAACTGTGTGTGTCCTCAGATGAATGGTGTTTTAGGTGATTCTCAGAACCAAGTTCCTCTTCCAAATAAACAAAACCATGGGACTTAAATCCAAACAACACGTTTCATAATAAGGTTAGCCATATTGAATAGACCTGGGTGGTGCAACATTTACTCTACAGCAGGGGTGTCCAAACATTTCTCACTGAGAGCCCATACAGAAAAACATACAAAGGGCTGGGCCACTCACTAGAGGTATATTGCCTCATAAGTTCAGTTATAAGTTAGCAAAATCAATCAAATGTAGGTACATTATGGTTGATACTTGAATGTGCTTTAAGAAAAACAACATCCTACATCACAGCTCTCAAAAGGGGTTTCATTAATTTAGTTAGCAACTCATTCCTTAAACGGGAGCCTCAGATTGCTTATCATAAGAGGAAATAGGAAGGGTTTATTTCAAGCGTGTTATGAAAATAAGTTATTGGGCTTTTTTCTTATCAACTTAGATTTTATAGAAAACGTTTTCAACTTGAATTGACTGAATTAGTTTGAAGAGTGGGCTTCTTAACACATGAATACTGTGTAATTTATTTGAACATGTATATTTAAGAAGTACAATACAATACAAGACAAGACAAGACAAGACAAGACAAGCACAAGTTTGATTTTTGGGCCATACTCCATTATACTTTTTGAATTTGCTGAGGGCCGATTCAAAATGGGGAAGCTTCATACTGCCGGTGCTGCAGCCCTGCCCGGGGGCCATAGTTTGGACACCCCTGCTCTACAAGAACCTCATGTTGCATGTAGGTCCCTGCTCAAATGTGTGATCCTTCATCTAAACACATGGGGGCACACTGCTGCAGCACTGAGGAGCAGAAACTTTATAAGCATATCATCATGGCTGCTAGAAAACCAATCAAATCTAAGGACACTAAACCTCCTTCATCCCCTTCTCTCTCGCCTCCTTTTCTTCTCCCCTCTGTCTCCCCCTCAGGCGGTGGTCGTTCCCCAGGGCGGGGGACAGCTCTGGGTGTTCGGGGGAGAGTTTGCCTCTCCCAACGGGGAACAGTTCTACCACTACAAGGACCTCTGGGTGCTGCACCTGGCTACACACACTTGGGAGAACATCAAGTATGTGTGGATGGAGGCTCATAAAAACAAATGTGATTATAAATGAAGGGCATCATAATGATGTTTGAACACAGGGATCTGATGGTGGCTATAAATACTATTTTATATCCAATGAAGTTATGAGGACACCTTAATTAGTTCATTATATCCTGTAATGTCCAATTAGTGGATAAGTTGATTGCCTAGGTAATACAAAATGACAGCTCCATAAAAGGAGTTCCAGAAGTGCACGGTGTCGTTGATATTTACTTTGAATATCTAATGATCCTTTTTACAGACATGAGTGACCAGAAATGATTTTGTGTCTCTCCAGGGCGCCCGGGGGTCCATCAGGGCGCAGCGGCCACAGGATGGTGCTCAGCAAGAAGCAGCTGCTGGTGTTCGGAGGTTTCCATGAGAGCAACAGGTAGGCAGCAGTTACTGAAAGATAAAAAAAAGGATACATGCTGTAATGGAGGGGATGGTGCACAGGTAACACTGTTGTTTAGAGCATTACTTCCACGTCTGTAATGATTCTTGGGAGACTGTTCCAAATACGGTTCATTTCAATGTTTTATTGGAGCATTTTGAAGCTGCCGAGCTAATACAGTTGGATACCTAATCATTGGGTGAGCTTATTGGACAACTGCGTGTGTGTGTTTGATCATAGTCAATCAAACTTTATTTATACAGCACCTAAAGACAGCTGCTAACATTCAACATTTTAGCAATTCTAACTAATGCATACATTATTTTATATATATATACATTATAAGAAAAACTCAAGAATTTATAAAAAAATTAAATAAACCTGATATTATTTAGAAAAAATGTAATAAAACAGATTAAATATAATAAGATATACAAAAAGTGTCTATGAACCATTCTTACTTAAAGGTCTTGTTTTTAGTTTTTCTTTCAAAAATGTCATTCAGTTTCAGCCCTCTCCTCTCCCCACCTGCAGGGATTTCATCTACTTCAACGACGTCTACTCCTTCTCCCTGGACACCTTCTCCTGGTCCCGCCTCTCTCCATCAGGCACCGCCCCCTTACCTCGCTCCGCCTGTCTCATGACCTCCACGCCCGATGGCGTGGGCGTCATCGTCTACGGGGGATATTCTAAAGTGGTGAGTGTGTTTGCTCCCCACATATTCATAACACGTCATATTTAGTGATGTTTTCGACCTAATGCATGTGTTTGTTTTATCTAGAGAGTGAAGAAGGACGTAGAGAAGGGGACCATCCACTCTGACATGTTCCTTCTCAAGAGAGAGGGGAAAGACAGCCAAGGTACAAAACATTTGAATTATTAACTGTTAGGCCTTTTTCAGGAAAATATGTATTTGTTTCCCTTTCACAAAAGTGTACCAACAAATTACATTTCCCCTAGAAAGATATATAAAGTATGTCTTCTTCTGCTTCTTCTTCTTTCTTTCTTCTTCTGTTTCTCTGTCTTCCAGAGAAGTGGTTGTGGTCCAGGCTGAGCCCTTCCGGGAGCAAGCCCCCTCCTCGCTCTGGTTTCTCTTCGGCGATGGGCCCTGCAGGGCGGGCGCTGCTGTTTGGTGGTGTGTGTGACGAGGAAGAGGAGGAGACACTAGAGGGGCGACTTCTACAACGACCTGTACCTGTACGACACAGTGAAGAACCGCTGGTTCCCCGGCGTGCTGCGGGTGAGCTGCAGGGCCGTGAAGCTTCTGAGACAAAGAGACTTTCTGTTCATTATTATTATTAATATTATTATTACATGTGACTTAGCTGGAGATTGAACCTCGGATTGCTAGAACCCATTCATGTGTCTGTTGCCTTTTTTTGTCACATTTACAGAATTTTAAATGAGCCCATATTTAAATGTATTTGTGGTAGTGGAGGCAGCAGGAGACACTTCTAACTATTCAGGCTTTTATCTAGACCCTAATAACATTTTGTATATGTTTGAGTATAAATATCAAACTGAGATTTACTTCACTTAGTCATGTTGTTTTCTCATAATCTTGTTTTTTAAGAGCATTTTCAGATTACTTTTAAGAATTTTGTCTTCACACGGATTACAAATTAAGTTTGTTATTTTAAATCAAATGCTATTTGGTATGCTGTGCTGTCAAAACTGCTTAACATTTTTATTGTTGTTGGATGTAATGAAATGAAAGGTATTTCAGTACTCTACAACGTCACTGCTGGGCTTGGCTAAAGGAGCCCTATTAGGCTTGCTTTGGGGGTTTCCCTTTTCATGTAGTGTGTTGTATACTACCGCTGCCCGAAACGACATCATTGGACTCCTTTGTTTACTTACATAGTGACATCATGTAACACGCACACTTGCGCTCCAGCAAATTGTACACGATAGGCTAAGGGGAGGGACATCTTTTACAATGTGATGTACCGTAGGAAAAAATGTCCCATGTTACAAAGTGAACATACTATTGACTGGCCAACACATTGACTTCCTGAATGGTGTTACTTTGCAGCACGAGTAGAGGCTGGCTAAAACATTTTTTAGCTGGAAGCTGCCGGAAGACTACAGGGTATGGATGTTTCGATATTTGTGATTATTAATTGTGTTGGTTCTCTGTCCAGGGAAACAAGTCAGAGAAAAAGAAACGAAGAAGGGGGAAGAAGGGTGGAGCTGAGGGGGAAGGAGCAGAGAAGAAGGGAGAGGAGGAGGAGGAAGAGGGGGCATCTCAAGGACCTACTGAGGTCATCAAGGAGATTATCGCGGAGGACGGTACAGTGATGACCATCAAGGAATTGATCCCCGGAGCTCAGCAGGAGGAGGAGGAGGAAGAGGAGGAAGGAGAAGAGGACGACGAAGATGGTAAGATTACATACACGTATTTAAGTTATGAAAGAAATAGCAAAAATACAGATATTTTGGAAAATCCCGTATTCATTTCTTCCTGTTCAGCCTGGGCCCCCCTGGTGGAGCCCTGCGCACGGTCCAGCTCCATGGCAACGGTGCGCCAGGGCAAGATGTTCCTGTTTGGAGGGATGTTTGAGGTCGGTGACCGCCAGTTCACCCTGAACGACTTCTACTCTCTGGACCTCAACAAGATGGACCAGTGGGAGGTTCTGGTGGAGATGGACCCAAGTGAGTGAGAAAGACTTCTCAAGAAGGCTGAAGCAAAGTAACAATATCTCCAGAATGGTTAACAAAGAAATGCATGAAGACACACATTTGTATGAAATGTATTCAGCTCAACAGATAGCTGCAAAGGAGCAGATGTGTCTTGTTTCATTGCTGTGTGACGCAGCAGGGAAGTATGTGAGATTTCATTTGGATTTATGATTTTGTTTTCTCCACAGAGACACAGGAGTGGCTGGATGAGTCTGAGTCAGAGGAAGATGAAGAGGAGGAGGAGGAGGGGGCGGCGGCGGCGAAAGGAGCAGAAGGGGAGGAGGAGTCTGAAGAGGAAAGCGAGGATGAGGAAGGCAAGTGATTATTCTGCCGCTTCACTGTCTATTGCTTTTCTTTCTTTTACAATTTACCTTCAAAAGCAGTTTATATTGAGCAACAAATACAGTGTGTATTTCAGGAAAGGCTTGGCATTAAACAGATTATGATATTCCAACATTCCAAACACATGTTAAAACATCTCAAATTAGAGATCTGATTTGGGGTTTACAGGTTATTAGCCACCTAGCTTAGCAGCGAGTGGCATGGCTAAACAACTGATTGCGGATGCTTTGTGCTCTATTAAGATTTGTTTCATTTCCTCCAGAGGGAGTTTCTCTCTTTTTTGGCTAAACATGTGTAAAAACCTTAATAGTTTATCTTTCTCAGAATTTACTAAAGCTTAAATCATATGTTGAGAAAAAATATATGTTTGTCTAACCAGAATTCCCCAATGCTAACCCTAGCCACCACTGGTCGCTTGAATATATCAAATATGCTCGTTTTGACATTTTGAGCAACTGGGCTCCTTTTTAGGAGGTGATTTTTTAGCAACAGTTTAAACCTCTCTCCCTGTGGGTGTAACTTTCCAGATGAAGAGGAGCACCCCGCAGTGCAGGAGGCAGAGACTCTGGTGGATTACCAGAGTCGCACAGAGCAGTATTGGACAGGACTGTCCCGTGTCAACCTGGGCCCCGACGCCAAGGACAAAAAGGTGGCCAAGATCGCCCTCGCCATGGCTAAAGTCTTCTTTGAGGACCAATAGTGTGTGTGTGTGTGTGTGTGTGTGTGTGTGTGTGTGTGTGTTGTGTGTGTGTGTGTGTGTTGTGTGTGTGTGTGTGTGTGTGTGTGTGTGTGTGTGTGTGTGTGTGTTGTGTGTGTGTGTGTGTGTGTGTGTGTGTGTGTGTGTGTGTGTGTGTGTGTGTTGTGTGTGTGTGTGTGTGTGTGTGTGTGTGTGTGTGTGTGTGTGTGTGTGTGTGTGTGTGTGGTGTGTGTGTGTGTGTGTGTGTGTGTGTGTGTGTGTGTGTGTGTGTGTGTGTGTGTGTGTGTGTGTGTGTGTGTGACAATAGAGAAAGATCCCAGATTGTGTTTGTTGGCATATGCACATGTGTCCTCAGTATGTTCCAAGGACCGTGTGTGTGGTCGTATGTAATGAACATTTTATAAAACATCTCGTTTAAAAACGTTGTTTTCTCCCACTGATCTATTGTGAATTTAACAATACATTAGCTGGTAGATAATGGATTGTTGAGCGCAACAGTTTTCATTCATTTTCAATAAGTAACCTCAACGATAACATTGTTTATCCAAAATGCTGCTACTAATTTTGAGCAGTGTGGTGAAGCAAAGTGAAGAAGACATCTTAGTGCAGGTGAGCATTACATTAAATCACATGTGGTGTGGGTTTTGTGAGAACTGACAAGTTGTAGAAGTTATAAATCTCTTTGACATGGTTCTTTGGTAACACATATTCTAACATCTGTCAATTTCTGTAGCTTTTCTCTGTTTTGCTGTTTACAATTCCAGTTAGTGATGTCATAGAGCAGTCACACAATTACAACTTGTCTGAACTTAAACTGGTTTAACACACAGACCACAGTGTAAATTCATCTTTAACATATTATCATTATGTTAAGTTATATTGTGAATGAGCTGGCAAACAGCTTCCTATTCACACACCTGTTTCTGGGCCCTTGTCAAACAATATTTACTCTCCTTTTAGCTGTGCTTGTATGTTTACAAGCTACTTGCTAACTTTGGCTGCTCTTTGGTGGGGGACATCTCTTGTACAGTGGGTTGATCAGAGATGTTTACCTTAATAAAAAGGCTATTTACTGTGGTTGGAAACAAGGATGACAAGATCGATGAGAATAAACCAAAACATTAAAGTAGCGGTCATTAAGCCATGTAACACATTTTGAATGCATGGAACACAATCAAAAGATGATAATGCAGGATACTCTGAGAACATCATTCACAACATTTAAAATAAAGTGTTGAATCACCGCTGGGCCTTTATTTAATACTGTCAAAGAAAAAATAAATACATTTATGATACAACCACTCTTTCTCTGCAAATGTTATTTTTAAGATCTGGCATTTCAACAACAAAAATCCCAAAGATACATGTTTATTTCTCCGTAGGCTTTACCCCCATCTTGTGGACATGTTTGACACTGCAGTCAGTCACAGGTGGAAATAAATGGTATCAGTTTAAATTGCTTTACAAAGTTCCAAATATGCTGGGGATATGCAAGCAAAAGCATTGTGCTTTACGTATGTTTACTGAACAAATTAAAATATACGTGGGGTTGTTTTTGTTTTCTACTTTAAGTCTATTGTGAATTAGCTCCACCTGAGACTAAACCGTCTCCTTGGAGCATATAGGGAAAAGTACATGATCTGGTATTTATTTAGTTTGCTCTTGTTTAACTTTCCCACGTGGCTACTGGTCATCCTTTTCACCATTCCAGCTAAGTTTATTTTCCAACAACTTCTTGTAGGCCCTTATTTTTACAGATGTGATGGTTTGTGTGCCCCCTGCAGATTGCTGGCAGCAACACAGCTCCTTTGTTTGAGTTTAACTCCTCGACAACAGGCAGCGGAGAGAATAGGAAGAGAGGAAGGTGAGCTGAACAGAGGCCAGTATTCAGGAATCATCATAGGATGTAAGAGGTGGGAGGAAGAAGAGGTATAGAGTGGATGAGAAATATGGGATGCTAAGACAGTGGTGGCAGGGAAGAAAAGGGAGAGGAGGAGCGAGGGGTTAGGGAAGGAGGAGACGAGTGCACGACGTGACTGAGAAGACATCAGTCACCGTGCGAGCACCAGCCTTTCCCTCTGACCTATTTTATCCTCCATCAGCATGTTGAACGAGGGATGAGAAGAGGCTGATGAATAATAGAGGAGAGGGAGAGATGGATGAGAATGAGGCTGCTTTCCCCTCTTCACAGCCCCTCCCTTCTTCCGTTCCTTTCCTGCAACCCCCTTTTTTATTTTAACTCTGGGACAAAAAAAGATTTTATAAATAACTAAAGAGTGGAGATTGTTTTGGGTGCACTGCGTGGGGGTACGTAGCATGTAATCGTCAGAGACACGTCAGTCGTGTGTGCGATAGAGAAACAGGTATGTATCATATATAGCAGTGGTTCTCAAACGTTTTTCAATAATGTACCCCCTTTGAAAAAAATATACAGCCAAGTACCCCCTGATCAGCGCGAAAACAATTTGTCAGGGACTAAATGCCGATATATAAAGAGGTACACAGTGGCGGCTGGTGGAAAATATTTTAGGAGGGGCTGTGGAAATGGTGACCAAACAATACTGGGGGGGTCCGGGGGGATGCTCACCCGGTAATTTTTTTTGAGAAAAGACCCCTTAAATGATGACTTCTGGTGATGTTAGGGGGGGGGGGGGGGAGAAGACTGATCAATACCTCCATAATCTTCAGTGTGGTTAGCTATGAATCTTCCAAAACTTCCAAACACCTTGTCCTGGACATTTTTTCTACAGTAAACTGCAACAGTACAGTAGGCCCACACAAACTGCAGAACACCGGGGCTTTGGGAACACTCAAAATTACTTAAAATGATTTAATTCCTCTCTGAAGAACCAGCACCTTACCGTGGTAGAGAGGTTTGTGTGCCCTGATGAACCTGGGGGCTGTGTTGTCTGGAACCTTGTGTTCCTGGTAGGGTCTCCCATGGCAAATTGGTCTCAGGCAAGGGGCCAGACTAAGATTGGTTCAAAAGACCTCATGAAAGACGACACAAGAAGTGAGGATACCCGGCCCGGAGGAAGCCCGGGGTCCCCTTCTGGAGCCAGGCCCAGAAGGAGGACTCGTCGGCGAGCGTCTGGTGGCCGGGCTTGCCACGGAGCCCGGCCGGGCCCAGCCCGAAAAGGCAACGTGGGCAACACCTCCGCTTCTACATCCCGCGGGCCCACCACCTACGGGAAACATCGATGGGGTCGGGTGCGCTGCCAGAAGGGTGGCAGTGAAAGCGGAGGGTCTCGACGGACCAGACCCGGGCGACAGAAGCTGGCTTTGGGGACGTGGAACGTCACCTCTCTGGGGGGGAAGGAGCCGGAGCTTGTGCGGGAGGTGGAGCGTTACCAGTTGGATCTGGTTGGGCTCACCTCTACGCACAGCGTCGGCTCTGGAACCTTACTTCTGGATAGGGGTTGGACTCTATTCTTCTCCGGAGTTGCTCAAGGTGTGAGGCGCCGGGCGGGTGTGGGGATACTCACAAGTCCCCGGTTAGGTGCTTCGTTGTTGGAGTTTACCCCAGTGGACGAGAGGGTCGCCTCCCTACGCCTGCGGGTTATGGGGGGGAAAACTCTGACTGTTGTGTGTGCTTATGCACCCAACAGCAGTTCAGAGTATACGGCCTTCTTGGAGACCCTGGAAAGAGTCCTGTATGGGGCTCCTGAAGGGGACTCTTTAATCTTGCTGGGAGACTTCAACGCACATGTGGGCAATGATGGAGACACTTGGAGGGGCGTGATTGGGAGGAACGGCCCCCCTGATCTGAACTGGAGTGGTGCTTTGTTACTGGACTTCTGTGCTAGTCATGGATTGGCCATAACAAACACCATGTTCGAACATAAGGATGCTCATAAGTGTACGTGGTACCAGAGCACCCTAGGCAGAAGGTCCATGATCGATTTCGTTATCGTATCATCGGACCTGAGGCCGTATGTTTTGGACACTCGGGTAAAGAGAGGGGCGGAGTTGTCAACTGATCACCATCTGGTGGTGAGTTGGGTCGAGTGGCGGGGGAAGCCTCTGGATAGACCTGGTAAGCCCAAACGTATAGTTCGGGTGAACTGGGAACGTCTGGAGGAGGCCCAAGTTCAGGAGGCCTTCAACTCACACCTCCGGCGGAGCTTTTCGGGCATTCCTGTGGAGGTTGGGGACATTGAACCAGAGTGGTCGGTGTTCAAAGCCTCTATTGCCGAAGCCGCGGCGGGGAGCTGTGGTCTCAAGGTCCTAGGTGCCTCAAGGGGCGGTAACCCTCGAACCTCCTGGTGGACACCGGTGGTCAGGGAAGCCGTCCGACTGAAGAAGGAGGCCTTCAGGGATTTGTTATGCCGGGGGACTCCCGAGGCAGTTGCAAGGTACCGACAGGCCCGAAGGGCAGCAGCCTCATCCGTGGCCGAGGCAAAGCAGCGGGTGTGGGAGAAGTTCGGAGAAGACATGGAGAAGGACTTTCGGGCGGCACCAAAGTTGTTCTGGAAAACTGTCCGACACCTCAGGAGGGGGAAGCAGGGAACCATCCAAGCTGTGTACAGTAAGGATGGGACGTTGTTGACCTGAACTGATGGAGTGTTAGGGCGTTGGAAGGAACACTTTGAGGAACTCCTGAACCCGACAACTCCGCCCTCTATGTTAGAGGCAGAGCTGGAGTATGACGGGGGATCAACACCAATCTCCCGGGGGGAGGTCACTGAGGTCGTCAAACAACTCCACAGTGGCAAAGCCCCGGGGATGGATGAGATCCGCCCGGAAATGCTGAAGGCTCTGGGTGTTGAGGGACTGTCATGGTTGACACGTCTCATCAACGTTGCGTGGAAGTCGGAAACAGTACCGAAGGAGTGGCAGACCGGGGTGGTGGTTCCCCTTTTTAAAAAGGGGGATCAGAGGGTGTGTGCCAATTACAGAGGCATCACACTACTCAGCCTCCCCGGGAAAGTTTACTCTAAGGTACTCGAAAGGAGGGTCAGGCCGATTGTCGAACCTCAGATTGAGGAGGAACAATGCGGATTCCGTCCTGGTCGTGGAACAACGGATCAGCTTTTTACTCTCGCAAGGATCCTGGAGGGGGCCTGGGAGTACGCTTATCTGGTCTACATGTGTTTTGTAGACTTGGAGAAGGTGTAT